AGAGAGAGAGAGAGAGAGAGAGAGAGAGAGAGAGAGAGAGAGAGAGAGAGAGAGAGAGAGAGAGAGAGAGTTGCATACATGCAAGGTATCCTTTCCAGGACCACCAGCTTGTTCATGGAGAGAAGACATGCGCTTGTCTGAAGATGGCTGTGCGAAAAGGACGAGATGGTTTCTAACTGTTCCCCATGGTAGTCTTGAGAACTTGATCACATGTGTCTCTGTCACTGTGTACGCAGAGCGCCGAGGCCAACCTTGCCAGCTATACCCCATTGCTTCAGAATCTACCTCAGTCGCTCTCTTTTTTTCTTTCCTGACCGGCCCCAGGCAATTCGGAGTTATTTTATTCCATCAGGGTTCAAACTCAGGTATATTTGTCCCAATGAGTCACATGAGCTGGGTGCCTCTGGCGATCTCTTTCTTCTGTTATGTCGTGAACGTTTTGGCTGGAGGCAATGCCTCGCGTCTGCTGTGCAAGTCATTGATGAGGTTGGTTGACTTCTATGGGTACTCTCTCTCTCTCTCTCTCTCTCTCTCTCTCTCTCTCTCTCTCTCTCTCTCTGTGTGTGGCTGTGGTCCAGAGATGAGAGGCGGTTAAGGGAGGCCTCAATTTTCAGACAAATTCTGATGCCATTTAGAAGAGAACCCAAGGGTCATTTTATTATTTAACCAAACTTGGCACCAATTCATAGAGTGGAGATCATATTAACTACTTACCAAAAAAAAGAAAAAAAGAAGAAAGAAAAAAAAAAGGCAAAAGTGCACTTTCATGAAATTTTGCCAACATTCCAATTTCAGAAATCTTGAGAAATTTCAGCAATCTCATCAGAGGAAATTCCAATGGCCCAAATGATACCAAATTTGCCACACAGCAACCTTAAACCAAAACAAGAACACGCAAAAAAGAAAAAAGAAACCCAAAAAAACATAAAATTTTACCCCCAAACCCTAATTTCAGTTTTGGACCCGTTACTCACGACCTGAAAGTGGGGGTTACTCGCGAGCTGAAAATGGGGGTTACTAGCTGAAAGTGGCGGTCCCGGTTAACCACTTGTGCCAGAGGTGTCCATCTTGGGGGCCATGTCAAGGGGAAGAGGTGTTGGATGATAGATACTAGGGTGGACAGAGGCCGACAAATCAGTCACGTGTCATCTCATGTCGTGGCGTGTCGTGACGCATGTCGCGTCGCGTCACGTTATCTTCACTGGGGAGAAGGAAGAACCCACCTGCAGACCACCACTGTTGATGAATGGAGGGCTCTGCAGTTTTGGTCCTTTTCTTAGGGGCCTGGATCCACTACACAACACTCTACATGCATGTGGACAAAAATCTGAACCAGGTACGTTAAGAATGTTAGATTCGTCTCAATGCACCTGGTGGAGAAAGCGTCCAAATGCATGTAGTGTTGCATAGTAGAAAGAGGCCCTATTACGCTTGTTCCTTCTTATTATTACAGTCGCAGATGTGATGTGCATGTTGCTCTTTCTGGGGGCAGCGGTATTGCGTCTGGCTCCAGTTCTCAAATGTTCGATACGTATCTGGACTGTTTTATGGAGCATGTGCATTTGGACCGTTCGAACGTCTTCAATGTACTGGGACCACTGCTCAGCCCCAGATACATTTAGAATGTTGTTGCGCAGTGTGGAGATGTATGAGGGGGGCTCATTCACAGCATTATGCTGCAGCTGGGTATGCCAGGCCAGTAAGGCCAAGCAAGCTCTGAAGTATTGATGAGGGCTTTTTTGCAAATATCCCTCTCTTCCACAAAGTGGTGGTGAAAATCTTTCTCTTAGGGCATCTGCGGTATTATTCAAAGAAGAACTTTTTAGCCGAATCTGACTGTAAATGCGGCCATATGCATCTCGAAAAGTCTCAGTGTGAGGATATGCTCTTAGCCAGGCAGGGACAACAAATAATACGACGACCATTCAGCTCTTCCATAGACTTTTCAGTGGTGCCTACCACGCGCATCAGCAGGTACGGATGCCGTTCGTGCAGCAGATGGTTGGTGTCCTGGTCGGCAATGTGAACATACCATTGGAATGAGAGAGGGGGTGGTGTATACTGAGAAACACAGATCAGTACGGCTGCCGCTGAGCTGGGCGCTCAATGGATGGGCAATTGATAGCGGTGGGGGGGGAGATGGCCCTGCAAGTTGGGTGAGCAGCAGTCCATAAGCTGCATGTACTGCTTAACTGACTCACTTGAGGAGGGTATGGTATGAACTCGCCGCTGTGGTCACTTTCTACTGCTAACTGACTCACTTGAGGAGGGTATGAACCCGCCTGAGGTTGCTTTCTACTGCTCAACTGACTCACTTGAGCAGGGTATGGTATGAACCGGCCGCTGTGGTCGCTTTGCACTGCTGACTGACTCACTTGAGAAGCGTATGGTATGAATCGCCCGAGGTTGCTTTGTACTGCTTAACTAACTCACTTGAGGAGGGTGCGAACTCACCTGCAGTTGCTTTGTAATGCTGACTCGCTCACTTGAGGAGGGTATGGTCTGAGCCTGCCGCTGTGGTCACTGACACCTGTATTATCATATCACATGAGGACTATGTTCAGGTGCGCACCCACCGCTATCTTTTGTCACTGCCACTTGTATTGTCGAGGCGTCCTCCGGCTACAAACAGTCAGCTTACGATGCCACTTGGCAGGGCATGGAGATCAAGTGGAATACTGGCAGGCTGTCTGCGGCCCGCGGCACCTGGTCTGAGGACCTTTCTTCTGGCTTCTTTTCATGATGCAGTTTCTGCTTGCCGGTGAAAAGCAACCGGACTGACGGCCGCTCAGAAGAGAGGCACAGGTCAAGCTGCGCATGATGGAGTGGTTGTGACTGAAACGATACTCTGAGTGCGTTCTTCCCTTTTTCAAAAGGGCAACGACCTTGAGATATCATCATTTGGACCGACTGGCCCTAGGTAGGTTATCCGAATTCACAGTATTTTACACGTCTGCTTCGTCTGCTTCGAGTGGAGTTCGAAGTTCGAACTCAGGTCTGTATTTCAACAGTTCTGTAGTGTACCAACTGAGCTAGGCCAGTTAATCCCAGGGCGGAGGTCAGCTCCCCCCACCAATAGATGGAGCCTTCAACACAGGGCACCACTTCAGGAGTGGGGCTCTTATCACCTTCTTAAACCGCGGTACATGGCCCCAGCCTTGGTGAAAAGAAAACTCGTCGCCTACGACAATTTTGGAGGCCCAGCGCCGTAGATAAATTGAATCGGCGGCGGGCGGCCTCTGAAAAGGGCCCGCAGCCAATAGCTGGATGTACTGGTGGTTTAAATTGAAACTCTGCAGCACAGAGTTCAAAAAAGAAGAAGTAGAAAGAAACCCAGTGTCATGAAGATGCGGACTGCATGCT